TGATAAAAATCAATAAAAGAAAACTCTACCTTAATTTAACATCACAAATAACAATGATGCAATTTTGCAGACACTGAATGGCTGCTCACAATGTATTTAACACAATACAAACAAGGCACAAGTTCCTTGCATTCTGCAAGCCTACACCACCATGGGCTCTGTAACCCCTTCAGGTACCTCTTGCTTTTCTCTAATAAGCTGACATGAAGCCTTTGTTCATACAACTAACTACCAGCCATTATCTGACCCTAGCACATCATTTCTGTAATAAGTCCACATCTGTTTTTCTCCCATTAGCTAGAGACAGTTAAAGAAGTGCTCAATCCAACATAGGCAAGAAAATCTTATGACACAACTCACTTATAAGGTCATCTAAATATTACAGAATCTGTGATTTTTTTAAATTATTTTTTAAAAGAACATTAAAAAAATAACTTACAAACTCCCAGGAAAATGTCTTCAAACTTCACTTTAAGAAACATTGTTTTATAAATAAAAGGTATTGCCACAATATCCAGAAAGGTCTTAAACATCTCAGATCTAACTGTGTTGACACTTCTAAGTGCTTTACACACATTAACTCTTTAATCCCCAGAATAACCCTATAAGATGGGTACTACTCTAACACCCGGGGAAACTGAGGCTTGAAGAGAGTATCCAAGTGATGGAGCAGCATCTTGAATATCTGAATCCAACATGTCTGCTCTCTGTCTCTTAAAGACAAGCCCTAAAGAGCCTCAACAGAAGACAACCAGCAACAGACAACAGGAATCGAGGGAAAACCAACAAGGTGGGAGCACGAGACAGAGGAAAGATGGCATTTTGAAGGAAAAAATGACAGGACTTAATGACGAGATAGAGGAAGGGGAGAAGGAAGGATCAAAGATGACTCCATGGACCTCTGAGACAAAAAGAGTGGCTGTCTCACTCCTCAGAAATGAACTGCTGGGAAGGAAGCCAGTTCGAAAGACAAGGTCTAAATTGAAACATGGTTGGTTTAAGGCAAAAGGGATTTGTTCCAAGTGGGGCTGGATATCCCCTTAACAGATCACAGCTGGAGATGTTGAACTTGAAGTCATATTCACAGAAAATATGTTTACAGTGCATAAAAAATATCTGAAAGTTAAGGCGGTCAAAGGTGTCCAGCACAAAAGAGATGGACAACAAAGACTAGCAAGACTTTGTGTCATCACTGGTTTCAACAGTTTGGTACACAAAAGTCAGACCATGGGAAGTGGGTAGTGATGATTAAAAAACAGCGTCAGCCTATTCACAACAATACATGGGAGGACTCATTCATACAACAAATATCTGAGTGCCCACTATTTACAAGATACATCCTAGGCTCAGCCATGAACATCCCCGCCCTCATGAAGCTTATGTTCTAGTTGAGGAGACAAACAAAGAACAAGTAAGCAAGTATACAGTCTGGAGTTAGGTGGTTATAAGTGCTCTAAGAGCTGGGAAAAAAATAAAGCCAGATATAAACAAGAATGATAGGAGGGGGCAGGTATTTGAGATAATGTCATCTGGCAATCAACAAAAGATCAACTGAACTCTAAGAGGGGAGACAAGATGAAACTCAATTCTTTAAGCTGTGAAGGCTGAGCACATTCGTTCAAAATATTTGCTGCCTACTACACTAAGCCCTGTACTGGTGCTAGAGAGATCACAGTAAAACACACATAGCCAATGGCATCTGAAACACTGAGGAAGCGCAGAGGAGAAGCCAAGGATATTGCAGGGCACGCAAGACAAAATATCTTCACCACATGGATGATCTTTATTTCTGAAGTTGCTTCCAACTTGAATATTCTCATTATAATAGAGAAGGACAGACACAGCAGCGTGATATGCTTAAGGGAAGACAAAAAGGCAGAAGAGGAAGATTTTTAAAAGACTCATTCTTGTAACATTCATTAAACAAATAACTGTTTATTGAACAAGACCTGCTGGTTGCCATAAAGGTCAGGCTCTGCACTCACAGGACTGAGCAAAAACAAGCAGGCACTTCAAGAAAGTTAAAGTGAGGTTGTCTCTGTTAGTACAGTTATCATATCCCAAAAAGATCTGCAAAGAGAGGGATAGGGAGTTGGGGGAGGAGTAGGTGAAGGGAAAGGGATAGTAAGCCTATCACCCAACTGGGGCCAAGTTAAAGACGAGGGTTTGGAAGACTTCTCTGCAGAATGGTGCAGCATTGAGAGGCCATCACAAGGGTGAAGTTCCACTGAGGATGGGGGTACAGGTTCAGCAAAAGGTTAGTGGATTAGGTAACCATCGAGTCCACAGCTGATGTGGAGTTTGATTAACCGTGGTGCCCTTTCCACCTCGCACTCACCACATCTGTATTAAAGTCATCTGCCTCTTCACAAAGCTGGGAACAACTCAGAGGAATCATTCCGCCTTTAATCTCCATATTCCCATTAACTTGCAAATAATGGAGGCTCAATAAATGTTTAACTGAGGCCAAGTTTTAATGACATGAATAAAATAGGAGGGACTAAATAACTAAGGGTTGGATGGGTGTGAGAAATGGAACAGGACAAGCTCCTGTTAGGTGTCCAAAGTGGCTGTAGATTTGTGTAGTGGCTGACCCCGAATGAAAAGGTGTGACCAGCAACTGCATCTATCCAGCTGGATAGCCCTGAGAAGGTCACTTCAATTCTGAGTCTCAATTTGGAAGATGAGGACGTTAGAGCAAATCAGAGAGGTTGCAAGCCTTTCAGTAGAGAGAATGTGTTTGTCATCATCTGAAGCCTAAAGAGAGAATGTATTTTTGCTATTGGAGTAAGGGGTACGGCATTCTCCTTTGGCTCTGTTTTAAACAAATTATAAAAGAGAGAACATACAGCTGGTATGGCCGCCACAATAAGGACCTTTGAGGTTTGTCAGCAGGTAATATGGTAAGGAAATAGGGGAAGGGGACAGGGATAGCCATGATGAGTTACACAGATCTCAGAGATGAAACAACACATAGCCCATGGAAAGAAAGTGAATGGAACAGACATCTGTGATTTCAAGATGGTTGTGTCTGGGTGTGTCATGTACACACTCAGGCACCATCAGGGAAAAATAGATTTTACACAACCTAAAAACTTTAATAATAATTTAAGAGGTGTGAGAGCAATAATTACCCACAAGCAAGATTACCTCTAGCCTTTGAAAAGCTTGTTTATTTACTGTATTTACACAGTACCATCAGACTGCATTTTGAGTTTCTGAGAAGTTTCCATTTAGAATCAGTAGAAATACCTAATACTTCTAAAACCCATAATATCCCACGCCAAGCTGAATTCCCCAACATTTCAGGAAAACCCACAAACTCTGTAGAAGGGAGTGAAAAGCCAATCTAGTCAAAGGAAACCTTCCAGTTCTACAAAAGAAAACAAACAAATACCACTAACAGCGCTGAAACATTTCTAGTTGAATAACTTTTCTCACCCAATCTTTAATAACTTCATTCTGAAGCCCTTGAAAAGTATAAAATTGCATATTCTATATTTCTGGTGATATCGATGCCTAAAATTATACAATTTACAGCAGTGAGTGAGCTTACAACTGTTAAATCAAATTTAAGGAAGCTAAAAGCCAAACAAAACCATGTTTGAAAATGCCTTAAAAATAATAAATGCCGAGGGAACTGTACAGCTTTTCTGCTTCTAAGCTAAATAAAGCTTGGGGGGCTTTGCAAAGATCCTGGTGAGGATAATCTCTGTGATTACACAGAGCAAACCACCCAATCAATTCCACAACAACCAAGGAAAGTTAATCCAAGAAAAATAATAACACTTGAAATGTTGAGAAAACCACAGTTCTGATTTTTAAAACACTCTGTCAGCGCTGGAAAACTTATCAAGTCATTCTAACAAGCCAGAACATTTGAAGAGTGTTTCTGTGATAATGACTTGGCTTGCATTAAATAAAGGATAAGCAAAAAATATTTGAGCTCCGACGCTCAGGCCTTCAAGTCCTCTCCCTGATTCCCAGCAGTCTCCCTACTTCCTGCACACCTTTGGATTATTACACACTGACTTCCTGCACACACCTGAGTTTGGGATACCTTTAAGGGTTACTCCAACTAAATTCCCAAGGCAAGCTCGAAGGTTAGAAGATCGCAGTCCCCCGACCCTCCATTAAAGCACAATTGGCATACGTCGCTTGACAAGTTCGGCCGCAGCATCGGCGTGATTAATTTACGTAAACAACTCTGAAGAGGTAACGCATCCCTGCAAAGACACAAGTCAGCAGGCTGAATGTGGCCCGCGGCAGAGCCTCTGCTGACGTCCATCGCGGCTCCTACCAAGCAACAGGTCCACGCAGGAAGGGTCCGAGTGGCGGGCATCTGGGAACCCGCCCCGGCTCCCCACGACCCGCTTCGCCCTGCTCTCCACCTCGCGGCCGCCCCCAGGGCCACGGCAGGCCAGCCACGCTACAGCTTTTCCCAGCACAGCCCACCTGCGATAAGGCCAGGAGCACATTCCTCCCAAGATGCCGAGATAGTGCGGTCACTTGCACACTACCCAGGTCCCAAAGTCCTCCGGGACCTGCCTTGGCCAACGGGGAGACACGCCTCAGCTAGTGGTCGAGGAACGCTGGGCGAAAGGAACGGCCCCGGGGGCGGGATGCGGCGCTCGGTAGCCTCCAGCTGGGAACGGCCCGAGCCACCTGGCTCCTCACCTGCCCGGGCACAAGTGCCAAGTGTTAATACCTAAACATGAACCTACGCTACTTATTAGCTCAGAACGTTTCTCCAATCGTACAAGCTCTAGTGACTACCTGAAAAACATCAAGTCGCTTTGTATAAAATGAAAAAACTTTTATTGGAAAGGGACGGGGGTAGAGAGAGGCAAGGGGAGAGAGCAGCAGGTGAACGCAGGAAGAGGTGGTTCCTGCCGGATCTGCCGGCTGGCCGCGGTCTGGAGGTAGAAGAGGGGACAAGAGGGAAGGGGCAGAGAGAGGAGTGGGCGAGGGCCGGGGCGCAGGTGAGGCCGGACACTTACCTCAGGCAGCTCGCGGAGCTGGTTGGCGTCCAGCAGAAGCTCCTCCAGGCTACGGGCATAGCGGTAGATCTCCTCGGGAACGTAGACCAGCGAGCAGTGGCGCTTATCGATGATCTCCACATGACGGTTGCACCGCCACAGGGGGATGCAGTGGAACATCGCCGCCGCCGGAGCCGGGTCCCGAGCCGCGGAGACCCGGGCTCCGAGCCCGCTGTGCCTGGCGGCTCCGCTCCGCCAGCTGCCCGCCCCGCGCTCGTTGTTGGCTCCGATCTCGCTCGGCTCCTCGCGCCGGGCTTCGCGGTCCGAAACGTCCAAAGGAACCTCGGGCGGGAGCCCCTGCCGCGTCCCAGCGCCCCCGCCCGCCAGCCGGTGTGTCCCCTCCCACCCTCCAGTCGCCGCCGCCGTCGTCGCTGCCCCGCGGAGCTTCCTACTCGCTGCCGCCGCACACACTGAGCATGCGCGCCAGTGAGCGCGCGCCGAGGGCGTTTCCCGGCTCGTGGGATTCTCCGCTCCGGGTTTTCCTGGCGGCCTGGGTAGGGAGAGGGTCGAGAAACCTGGGGGATGGCTGCTCACTGTCCCCCAACTCTGGCTGGGACGGGGGAGAGTCGAGCCCACTGAAGAAGGCAAACTCTGAAGGGGTTTAAGACAAAGATGAGGCAGGCGAGAAGCGGCCGGAGGGGAGCAGAACAAACTTTGATTTTTAGTTTTACTTAACTCGTTTTCCACTCCTTGCTCCCCTTCCCCAAAACAACTTTCTCTTCCGGGGTCAGGCAGGACCGCCCCGAAGCGTACCTTGTGCGCCGTGGGCGCCGCGAGCGACCAGATTTGGTGCGGTTTTGAGGGGTCTCCACCGCCTTCGCTGCTGCTTCATTGGCCATTTGTGTGCTCGCTGCTCGCAGCAGTCCCAGAAATGTGAGCAGGTCGCCCCCGGCCCCTGCAGCGCCCTCTGACCCCTGGGCACCGCCTGCAGGCTTTGTAACCTGGGAGCACATCTTCAGTAACCATTGTTCATATACATAGTAATAGGACATCCCCTCCCCGTACCACCAAAAGCCTAGGAATCTGAGAGTCCGAGAATCTCACAGATGTTTTGCGGAAACGAGCTGGCAAAGGTGAGTTTCGGAGCCGGTTCCAGCACGGCCAGATGTTGGCCCCTGGGGACTAACCCAGGCTGGTGCGGAGAGAGGAGTGAGGGAAGGGAGGGCAACAACATCCCGTCTCTTACAAAGGACAGATTGCAGCCCAAGAAGGAGTAGCTGGGGAGGACCCTGGAGGCTCTCTATGGGGTGACAACGACCATTCCCCTTGCCCCCTACTCGTTGACATGGTCCACGGTCGGAACCTTGAACTGCTCCGGTTTTCCTGTAACTGTTTGCACCGTACTGCCCATCTCCGAATACCCAAACTCGCTTCTTCACGAAGAGTTGCCGATCACATTGATAGGTTGTTTTCTCGGGATCTCCTCAGACTCCCTGCTTGGCTGTCCCGTCCTCCCACCTTCCCCTTAAAATGTACTCCAACTCCAGATTCCACCTGTGGCCTCTGCCACACTGCCACGCCGGCTCTCCCACCCACTCCCGCCCCCGAGCTGCCATAGCTAAAATCTGGAGCCATGGAATTTACATTTCTGCAAAAGACTGAAAGCTGAGCATGCTCAGTGACCAAGGCAAAGTTGGTCTGAAACTAGTTTTCGCAAAGACTTTCTATAGGCTGCGCTGAATCTCCCATCAGATCCAACTGCGCAAAGGACGGTTTCCCCGGGTGAAGTGGGAAGGGGGACACTTTATCATTTCAATTCTACTAGGAGGGCTTCTTTCTTCCCGGTGAGGAGGGATCCGATTTTCGTTTCTACCCCAGCATTATCGCCTTAATTCTCTCTTTCCAGTTAATCCCTTAAACTCCTGCTGCTCTGCCCACTTCACCCTCTCTTTTGTTTGTCCTGATTTGATCAGAGAAGGTTTCCTGGACTTTGAACCTCCACCCCTCTTCCTTCATTCTTTCATTCCAGAAACATGTATAAAGCCCCTTTTTTGACACCTTTTGTGGGAAAATATGGTTCCTGACTGAGAAACATCCGGAAAGGTAAGTCACTGTAAGTTTTCCAACAGCTTTAAAAAAATAAAGGCCAACTCCCTCAGTTTAATCAGTTGTTGATTTCCAGAGATTATCACACTAGATTATTTTAATAAACACCAAATGTGTTTTAAAGACATGTCTGGTCTTTTAAAAATTCAAACCTCAGTAAGCATTTCCTGTGTGCCTCTATATAGTGCTTATGATTCTCTGTGTTATGATTATTTTTCTATTACCTTCATTTCAAAGAGATTGTGACCTCTTGGACAATGTCTCACTTGCTTTGTAAATCGGGAAAACTACCACAGTGCCATCTGCGCACTAAATAATCAACAAATTTTTGTTAAACTGACTTTAGGAGCAGTCAGTGGCAGAATTCTTGGCTTTTCTTGTTTCCAAGGATGCCAAGAATTTGAAACAGTCTGGTAGGAGAGAGAAAAAATGAAAGCAACACCTTGTCAACTAAAGAATAGGGAATCAATTAACTCTATTCACCTGAAGAATTTTAGGGTTTCCCTGTTGATAAAATTTCTAGTTTCTTTCCCCATATACAAATGAGTTTGACTCAATTTAAACAAATTTAAAAGACTATCTAAATTAATTTATCCTTGGAATAATGAGGCTAAAAAGATCTATGTTGAATTCTGGCTATGCCACCTAATAGCTTTGTAGAATTGGACAGGTTACTTAACTTTTTTTGTCTCAGTTTTATCATCTCTCAAATGAGGACATTGGCCCATGGGTTGTTATCAGGATTAAATAAAATGATATATGTAAAATGTTTAGCAGAGTTTCAGATACATATCACTTCAATCAATAAATTTTCATTATGTACTAAATTAGCCTCCAGGATGGCCCCAACAATCCCCATCTCCTGGTGATCTGTGTAACCAATTTCTGTTTCTCTCTCCAATCACTCACTTTGGGGAAGCCACCTGCCATGTTAAACAGTCTGGTGGATAGGTCCACATGACAAGGAATTGAGGTCTGCTGACAACAGCTATGGAGGAACTGAAGCTTCTTGCTAATAGTCATATGAATGAGTCATCTTGGAAGCCAATCCTCCAGCCCCAGTCAAGCCTTCAAATGACTGCAGTACCAGGTGGTTGCTTAGCTGAAACCTCGTGATAGATCCTGACTCAAGACCACTTAGCTAAGAGCTGCTTCCCAATCTTGACCCTCAGAAACTGTGTGAGACAATAAATGTTTGTTGCTTTAAGTTGCTAAGATTTAGGGTAATTTATTACATAACAATGGATGACTAATAAATGTGCTTACTATGCACCAGGCATTGTGGTAGATACTAGAAATACAACAAAGAAAAAGGTAGGTCATACTCTTATGAAATCTATACTCCTCATGAGGTTAGGAGAATGATAAATACCCAGTTAATGGTTTGTTGCTGTTACTGTTGTTTTATCATTAATTTTTTGAGGATAATATTATCATTAATTTTTTAAAAAGTGAAAGTCCAAAGTGATAGCTGGTAAAATGAGGGTTCAGACTGACAACCCAATGTTAGTGAAGTTATGGAGCAACTGGAACTCATGCATTGCTGATGGGAGTGTAAAATGGTAAAATCACTTAGTAAAACAATTTGGAAATTTTTTGTAAGCATTTGCCTACCCTAATGTCTAGCCATTCTCCTTCTAGGTATTTACCTAAGAAAAATGAAAACATATGTCCACACAAGGGTTGTTTATAAATGTTGATAGTTTTTTTAATAGCCAAATACTGGAAACAATCCAAATATTCATCAGCAGATGAATAGATTTTTTTTTTAATGTAGTATATTGAAACAATGGAAACCATTCAACAATAGAAAGGAACAAACTGCTAATACATGTAACAATGTGGATAAATCTCAAAACCATGTTGAGCAAAAGAAGCCAGATGCAAAAGAGTGCATACTATCTGATCCCATTCATGTAAAATTCTAGATAATGCAAATAATGTGAAATGACACAACCGAGATCAGTGGGTGCCTGAAGCCAGGTTTGGGAAGGGTAAGTGAGGGTTAGATCAAAGGCAAAAGTCATGAGGGAACTTGTTGGGGTGATGGAAATATTATATATCTTGATTGTGGTGGTAGTTACGTTGTCGTATATTTATTAAACTCATCAAACTATATACTTAAAATGGGAACTTTTTTAATATAAGCTTTAAATATCAATAAAATTAATTTTTAAAATTAACAAATATTATAAGATAAATGTATCCAACAGGTAGTTGTAATGTAATCAGGGGCTAGGAGTCATGTGTTATTTGGTTAACAAATATTTATTGAGTGTCCACTGTAAGGCACTGGGTTAGTTTACTGGGGAGATGAAAAGGAACAACACAGAGCGTTCAGTCTTATGGGAAAAAAAGGCACCTATCAAGGAAATTATAACAGTCATAGTACCATTGTAGTGAGATACAGCTTTTTTTCTTAATCTACAGAGGCTAACCTTTTTGTCTTGAGAAGAAGCACTCAGACCCCAACTCATGCTTCCCCAAATTTGAATTTAAGGATATTTTCTAGAGATTACATATCCCTGCTTAAAGGAAAGGCTACACTCAAACCACTGAGGAAAACCTGAAAGCCTACACAATTTCATGGGTAAATCAGTTTAGAATTCAACAACCTTTATTATCAGAGCCAGAGTCACTACCCTAAGATCTCTGATTTCCTGTTACTATTTAAATTGAATTCTATGCCCCATTTCTTGTTTTTGAATTGAAATGTTTCGCCCATTACATTTAATATAACTTGAATAGTTGGATTTTAGTCTATAATTATTTGTTTCCCATGTTACCATCTGATTTTTGTTCCTCAATTTCTCCTCCCCTACCATCTTTTAAATAAATAAATATATTTTATAATCCCATTTTACTTTGTCTTTTGGCTTTTTAGCTATAGTGGTTGCTCTAGGGAATGTAACTTGCTTCTCTAAATTTTCATAGTCTAAGAGTAAAATGCCAATTCATGTAAAACAGAAGACCCTTATACTTACGTAGGTCCATTTGCCAACTCTCTGTTCCTTCATACAGTTTTTCAACATATTACATTTACCTAAGTTATAAATCCCATAGTAAAATTTTACATTTTTTAAACAGTCATGAATTGTAAAGACATAAGAGGAAAAAATAGACTTATGTTTACTTGCATGTTTACTATTTCCTGTGCTCTTCATTCCTACCTGATATTATTTCCCTTCACCTTTCAGTTAAGGTCTGTTGAAAGCAGATTCTCTTGGTTTTCTTTCATCTAAAATGTCTTTATTTCACCTTAATCCTTTCAGAATATTTTTAGTGAATATACAGTTCTGTGTTGACAGTTTTTTTCTTTTAGCACTCTAAAAATTAC